CATTTTGCTCAATGATGTGCAATATTTCTGCTTTTCTGCATTTGTTTGAGGACTTTTCATATCCTAAGCCATGATCAATTTTTGTAAAAATGTCTTTAGCCCTAGGACATGGAAGTCATCTTTTTCTAAAACCTGGTCACAAGTCAAGCCAATATACATATTTTAGGTACCTACCATGTTCCAGGAATGGAGCTAAGTGCTGGGGATTCAACAAAAGCCAAGAACAGGCCCTGCTCTCGAGGAGCTCACAGTCTAATGGTGGAGACAGCGTTCAAACAAAAAAGTACAAACAAGATATGGGTGGGATACGTTGGGGAAAATCATAGAGGGAAGACATTAACATTAAAAGAGCATCTCTTGTCTCTTGTAAACAGATGATACTGAAGCCTACAAAGTTCAAAGATCCCAGAGTCTTATTTTATTCCCATTTTTAATGTAATTTAAATTTAATTTAAAAGACAAATTTTTATTATATTTATATTTTATGTGATACGATTATATTATATATAATAAAAATTAAATAAGATCACTAAGAGGCTAGGTAAGGCCTAAACTAAAAGTGACTAAAAGCTACTTTTGATACTTGGGAGTCACCTAAGGGAAACGGAAGTTAGATTTCATTCTAAGGAGCTGCACCGAAAACTAAGCCCTGGAATTAGTCACTGGCAGATAGCCCTTTGGATTGTTTAGGCAGAAGGTTACAAATTACACAGAGAAGAGGAGAAAGATCAACGCCATTTAGCGAGGGCGAGGCTGAACTCATATGGATGAACTGTTTCATACTGACTTCGGAACTTCAAAGATCAGTAAGTTCATTTTTGTGGGCTTCACTTGATGCAGATCAGAACCCCTCTGTGAGGGAGCAGACAATCAACATAAGCCCGTATTGTAAATTAAGTCCATTTCTGGAGGATAATGTTTGGGAGGAGCCTCTCTTCACTTAGTTGTGCTGGTCTCCAGATGCAGGCATAGTCCATTGCTGGGCCCTTCCAGTTTACCATGACTTGTTGGAGCTGGTCAGAGCCTTCATGAATTCAAAGTCACCTCCATTCCATATGGAGGCAAGGGAAGAGGATTTCAGGATTTTCTATTCTAATTAGACATAGAATCAGAAATAATATCAATTGGTTACTAAGTATGCTGAGTCTCCTGGAATCGTCCTGGGTCCAGGAAGTGGACTGAGCAGCACTGTCTTATACTTCTTCCCTTTTCTTTTTTTTTCATATTATGAAGAAACGCCCAGTGTATTTGCAAATGTTTTCTGAACTTCTCCTTCTTCTTCCCCTCCTTCTTCTCCTCCTCCTCTTTCTCCTTCTTCTTCTCCTTTTTCTTCTTCTTCTCCTTCTTCTTCTTTTCCTTCTCCTTCTTCTTCTC